ACCAGTCAGTGGTCCTATGTTACAGGAAGAGGCGCTTCTAATTGCAGAAAAGCTTGGTATTAGTGGGTTCACAGCCTCGAATGGTTGGCTTCAGCGGTTCAAAGAACATTACAACCTCCAAAGAATGGCCGCTGCTGGAGAGGATGGAGATGTTAGCATGACTACCATTGAAAGTTGGAATGAACGCGTGAGGGAGATAACTCGAGGATGGTTACCAACGAATGTATGGAACATGGATGAAACTGGAAGCTTTTGGAAGGGGTTACCAGGAAAAAGCTTGAATGAAAAGAAGGAACGGTGTCGTGGTGGAAAGAAGGCCAAGCAGAGAAATACATGGGCGTTTTTTGTGAATGCTGCTGGAGAAAAAGAGGATCCAATCGTCATCGGAAAATCTGCTAAGCCACGTTGCTTCAAGAATATGAAAGATATCAAACGCCCATACGGTTGCTGGTATTATTCCAACCCTAAAGCATGGATGAAGACCGGGATAATGGAAGAAGTGCTGAAAAGGCTTAATGAAAAGATGAAGAGGCAAAAACGAAGTATACTGCTGTTCATGGACAATGCTCCATGCCACCCTGAAAGCCTCGCAGAAGGTCTCTCCAATATTACAGTCAAGTTTCTTCCAAAGAACACAACATCRAAGACGCAGCCACTTGATGCTGGTATCATTGCAAACTGGAAGGTGAAATACAAGAAGAAACTCCTAAGACATGTGTCTTCCAAAGTAGAAAGAGGTATTAATGCAAGTGAAATTGTCAAGTCCATCAATGTATCAATGGCAATCGAATGAGGAAAGCAAGCCTGGGACGAGGTACTGCCAGATGTCGTAGTTAAGTGTTTCAAGAAGACCAACATGTATCCAAATGAAGTAGAGGAAGAGGACGATCCATTTGAAGGTGAAGATGAGCTACCAGCCCTACAAGAGCTCATAGACAAGATGGGATTATMAGCTGATGCTGTCAGATTTATATCTGAGGAGGATGATATAGAAGTATGCCAGGGATTTATTGACGATTCCGATCCAAATTGGAGAGATGAGCTACGGGAACAGATTATCGATGACGAGGATGTAGACGAGAGTGAAAGTGAAGTCATGGAAATTGAAGATAATGACGAGTTTGATCCAGATCTTAAACAGCCTATTATMAAGTCGGTAACAGAGGCTGAGGTGTTTGCCGAACAGTTGAAAGATTACGCTCAATTCCACGGTCACGAAGAGCTTTCATTGGCGCTTAGCAAAGTGAGCGACATGTTTCACGACATTAAGCTATCTGCCCCTAAATTGCAAACAACCATAACTGAGTTCTTTTCATGAGTTTCTGAACATTTTCAACAATAACTGACTTCTGGTTTTGCTTTCTAATAGCAACATTTAAACGTTTTGTAGTTGTTAAACATTGCATTGCAAAGGAAAATATATCTTGAGTTTATACAGTAATTATTTTGATTTTTCTAGTTTTACTGTCTTTCTGAATAATAAAATGTTGATTTCAGGAACAATTGTGCACTCTTTTGTTCATTTCCTACGAAATTTGGCCAAAATATGTATACCCTCTATTAAGCGGACAACCTCTATTAAGCGGACACTTGTCTCGGACCCGTAGGTGTCCGCTTAATAGAGGTTCGACTGTACTGTACCGGTGTTTTTACTGGGAGTTCAAAAGAATTTGAGGATTTTTTGGATAACCTACAGCTGATAACTTCCACAAGTTTCACGCAYTACGAAATCAACTCCAAAGAGAAAGGACATGAACGGTTGTCAGAAGAAGTCATCATTTGAGTTATTGAAAACTATAAAAATTTAGTTGCGCTAGTGTCTGTTAACAATTTTTGAAACACCTTTAGTCTTGATTATCACAATGTGTCGACTACCTACCCAGGGGGTGGTATGGYGTTCCGTTCCGGACAAAAACATGAAAATATYTGTTTCGTTTGAAAAACAAAAAATACGCTTTGAGTTTATAAAAACCATGTCGAAMAAAATAAATTGTATCGAAAATTACGTTAAAAATATAAAAAACATCATCGAATTTGTGCAAAATATGGATCGAATGAATAAAAAAGTATGACAGGAAAAGAATTGTATCCAATAAAAAAAATACGTGTCGAAAAAAGAAAATTGATCGAGAGGAAGCGGAAATCCGATTGAAAACCGGAAGCTTTGACAGACTCATACCCAAGACTCTCTYGGTCGAGCATGAACAAAGATGGCGCACTGGTTGCCGTGTAGCGTGGAGAGTTTTTTTGGTGCCCTAGGAAGACTTTTACAAAATTGCGAAATGGAAGTAGAAGGACGTAATTTTACACTTATTTCTGATAATGACCTTGATGCTTTTGTGAGGCAAATTGTTGATGTAACTCCATCTRCTGGACTAAGAATGATACAAGGGTTGCTTGTACATCATGGTTACCGTATCCAAAGACAATGTGTGCTCCTTTCAATGCGAAGAGTAGACCCTGTCACATCAACACTTAGAGGCGCAAGAAGAGTTATCAGAAGGAGATACAATGTATGTTGCCCCAACGATCTATGGTGAGTTGTTTCATTTCATTAATATTTCMACTTATCCGATTATAAATCAGGTGGAGCAGTAACTGTCTTATTTGTGATTAATTAAGCTTAATGCATACCCCACTCTCAAAAAACTGAATTATGAARTTAATGCATACAATATAATCTCAGCTGTGTGTACTTATAAGAAATTATATGCTGTAGGATACATTATTTTGGAAACTCTGGAGAAGTTCTCTTTGTTGACAGGAACATCATTTTTGTATGTTTTTTTAGGCACWTTGATGGAAACCATAAATTAATACAGCCATATAGGATAGTAATTCATGGAGCTATTGATGGGTTCTCAAGACTCATTGTATATTTAGGGGCATCAACAAAYAACAGGTCTTCAACTGTGCTATCTTTGTTTCAAACTGCTGTAGAAAGCTATAATCTGCCATCCAGAGTAAGATCAGATCTTGGATTGGAGAATATTGATGTTGGAAGGCTTATGCTTGAAGAAAGAGGTCTTAATCGTGGAAGCATTATTACTGGCACATGTGTGCACAACCAAAGAATAGAACGATTGTGGAGGGATGTTAACAGAATTGTTGTTTCTCGATTCCTTGACATATTTCTCTATCTTGAGAGGCATGGGGTATTCGATCCTTTAAATGAGGTCCATTTATATTGTTTACATCTCGTATACATAGAAATGATAAATCAACAACTGAATGAATTTAAAGGTCAGTGGAATAATCACTCATTAACAACAGCAAACAACTTCTCACCTCGACAGCTTTGGATAATGGGGATGGCAAATGATCAGAACTCTCGGCATCTAGCTGTTCAAGATGTACTAAGTGGAACACTTAATTCAAATTATGGAGTGGATGAACTTGGACCTGTACCAGAATTTGAGGAGTATTCAGTTCAAGTGCCAGAATCTCCAATTCGTTTGACAGAAGATCAGCTCAACATTGTTAAAACTGTGATTGATACTTCAAGAAGAAATGATGACAATGGGATTGTTTCATTTAGCATGGCTTTAAAGGTCAAATGCAACGGAAAAACCAATCCTATTTTTGCGATTTCAAATGAAACTTTAAGTCAAGAGAAGGTTATATTTTCATTTTGAGCAAATTTCTTCAAGTTTTACCTCAGTTTTTTAGCGATTACTTTTGGACTTCCGAAATCACTCCGAAGAACGTCAATATTTCCGCGCGAGGAATGGAATCGAGTGATGACGTCACAGATGGTGAGATGTGGTTTCAGCAAACAGTGGCATAGCGATGGCATAGCTGTTTGTTGGTTTCTTCGTTTGATTTTTACGTACAGTATAAGGTTTTAAATAATAATATCTCAAGAAGAACGACCAGTGAAGTTCGTCCATACCAATATGAGCCTATTGCAGCACTAGTTTACCGCCAGTTTCCATCATTCGGACGAAGAAGAATCGAGTTCGGAATACGATACTATTCAATCGCCGAGAAAGTGAGGAAAAATAGCTCTATTTTTCTGTCGCTTTCTCGACAGATGAAAAAAACGTAAATCTGTTCGCAGAAGAGGAAAGCGATTATAATGCTGGTGAGATTTACGGAAAAGTGTTTCGTTATGAACTGTTTTTGAGGTTATTTTGTTATGAACTGCTCATTGTCTAGCAGCCAGTTCTTACACACTATCTAGCTTATACCTGTGCTAAGATCCACATTATGAAAATTTGTAAGCCAGCCTACAGGCATGTTGATTACGTTTTTAACTTAATGTGATTTCAATGTAGTCCTTCATTGTCATAATGTTCATTTTCTTTGATTATTTCTGAGTTATTTAACCAAACTGTAGAATTACCATTTCTTCTATCATGTATTGAGAGGAGGCTCTACTTCTAAGGTAAAGAGGTCATTCTTGCAATGGTCTAATGCTTCTCTTTTCATCTAGTATTTATTGCGTACCTTGTAACTTTGTATAATTTTCACTCTTATATGAGCTGCAATAAAATCCTTTTACAATATCTGTTGAATTGTCTAGGTATTTTTAAATTTATTATCATCGACCACAAATGCGAAGGGTATGATTAAACTTATTTATTATTATCATTATTTAAATGCTATTGTTATCTGTCTTATTATGAAGTCAATGTCATTGTTAGTACTTGCTTTGTAAATTTGTAAACCTTTTTGGTTAGAGTGCATATATCAAGTTTCCCAAGAATGTGTCTGCCAAGTAAAAATTTTCAAAACACTTGCTAGAGAAAATAGAATAGAAAACTATAGCATAATTTAGCACATGCATAATTTTTATCTTTCAGTATTTATATCTGAGGAATTAAGAGCATCCACCTTATAGTTTGAACCTGATATTATATTTAAAGTCCATCTGTTGGGACAATTATTTTGCTTCCTAATAAAGTTCTGGCATTCTATACTTTTACATGTCATGCCTAAGTTCTGTTCTTTATAGGCGGTAAGTATTGTTATTCAAATCAAAATTATTCCAATTCAAATAAAATACATTTGAATGACAACTGTTAAGGTGTTATATGGAAATATGAAAGTAGAGATTTCCTTTTTTTCAAGAATTTGGATTTATATGTCCAGGCAGAAATTCAGATTGTTTTGTATGGGGTAGTCTAGTCCTAACTCCCAACCC